AAACATCACGTATTGACTCTATTTGGAAATGTTAAATTCAGGCTAATTGTAGAAGCTCGTAAAATGTTTAAACAAATAAGATATAAAACTGAAATTTACAAATCTAAAACTGTCAGTATCAACTTAAAATCGAACCAAAGATTATGGTTATATTAGTCTAAATGTGAAGTAAAAGTATGTTTTAAAACTATCCATTCTCATCTTAAAACTATACCTATAACTACACCCGTATCTTACACTGTAGTAAACCAGTGCATATTTACTGTAAAGGCTAAACAAACAATGGCTGAGTGAAGCAGTACGAGGATCTACCCATTTACCATCAGTCTGTCCACTTATCGGGTCTTGGTGACGGAATGTCCAGAGAGAGTGAGTGAGTATGGTTTACGCCGCTTTTAGCAATATTCCAGCATTATCACGGCGGGGGACACCAGAAATGGGCTTCACACATTGTGCCCATGTGGGGATTCGAACCCCTGTCTTGAGCGTGACAAGCGGACGCTTTAACCATTAGGCTACCCACCGTCCCATGTCCACAGGACCGACCACACCGTATAGAAGTAAGTAACACAAGAGTTTTAACACCCCATTATTCAATATTTCAGATACCGCGGGTTAACTCCATGTTGACGGAAAGGTCACACTGACGCATGTCTTTGATATTCACTTAGCTAAACCCAAAGGTAAAACCATGGATCGCAGTCGGCCCATCTTGGATTCAAACCTGCATTAGCGGATCCTGTTCCCTTAAAGAATTCAAAACAGAAATTAATGATTTGCTAAAATACGTTATGAAATCAGTATTGATGAATTCCCGTTATGATGAATTCAGCAAATTTATCAGTGGGGATAGCAACTTATGCTTAAAGAGACACCACCGAGTCGCATCATTTAACGTTGTTTACATAATGCATTTAAACATTTAAGAAACATGAGAGTCCACAAAAATAAAAATAAAAAAAATCATGGATTAAATACCGGAAAAAGTGCACAGCAATGTTTGACGGCGGCTAAACATGAGTGAGTGAGTGAGTTTGGTTTTACGCCGCTTTTAGCAATATTCCAGCAATATCACGGCGGGGACATCAGAAATGAGCTTCACACAATGTACCCATGTGGGGATTCGAACCCGGGTCTTCGGCGTGACGAGCGAACGCTTTAACCACTAGGCTACCCCACCGCCCCGGCTAAAGATGAAGCAAACTATAATGGTATTCGATGGTGACGTAGATCACGTATTTCATATAAGTTTACAATGTCTCGCCCTAAAAACATTCTGATAATGTACATAACTGTTGATCAAATCCAACAGTGTATATTTTCTTTTGCCCGGTGTTTTTGTAATTTCGTTATTGTATTCAGTAAAAAATCCGACAAAAATCCTATGGAGGGCTTAGTGTGACATTTGAAATAGACAGGGTTACACACGTGGGTGATATATGTGTCTACACATCATGGACAAGTGTTAACAAGCGTGTCTCGGCATCGGAGTCCCAGCCACAGTGTCGCGTTGAAGGCTGCTCCCTGGTTGGAGGGGCAACAATTACCGGTCGATATGTCACTACTGCAATATTTATTACTATCACTTTAGATGGTAATTTATGGTAATTTAACGGTTTGGAAGTTCTAACTCATTGCTTTCATACATGTAATTAAGGGTCACAATTATCCATTAGATCGGTACAGGTGCTTGATAAAGATAGCCTAAATTCTGACTGAAGAGGTGCCGTCAATTATCTAATTGTAACGGCTCGGCGATGGAATTTCCAACATTTTAAATGCGATTAACGGCTGTTTTATATAGAAACAGAAAACAGATATGAAAACATAATCTGTCTGAACAGAGGACGGTAATTTCGTGAGCTATGTGTAATGTCAATTTTCAGCTACAGCACTATATGTCATCGAATGGGCGAGTAAAGACGCTTTAAATGTTTACTGCTTCTAAGAGCTCCGAAAGCATTTGATGGTGAAAACGTAAGGCTTGTAATTACGACAAATCGGGGATTGGGACCCTCGGATACTGACGTGGGTAAGGGACGCAACTCTGTAAGTTCAAAACGCAAGAAGAAACACGAAATCTAAGAATATCACTCTCGTTGCCATAAATAACATATCAATAAATACAGCATGGTCTTCCACTTCATAGGGACCATGCTGTGTTTATAATTATGTTACATACCATCTACGTATCTTCTATCCATATTAGAATATAATGAAATAATTGAAGACACAAATAATCTGGGTTTCAGGCTAGATAAATCACAATTGCTGGATAAACTACTTGGCAGGGAGGTAAGTTTAAACCAATATAAACTATATTTGAAGTCGTGTGGAACACAGTATTACTGTGTCCCAACACGCAGGTTGTTTACCAAAATGACAGGAAATACGTATTTCCGATACCAATACAGCGACTTCCCCCGTAAACCATGACACGTGTCAAATTAATTACGTTTGGATATTTACAAAGACGCGGTTGATCATATACATAATTGTGTGCTTCTAAGAACACTACGTGCAAGATGAAATAAGACCACTACCGAGTCACGTGACAACTGTGACATCATCCACGCGACAGGATGTATGTGACAACTTCCGCTCTAAGCGGTCGAGGACGGAAGTGGATGGTACCTTTGTACAACATGATATAATACGTGATGATAATACTTACATCGAGAGGACTTATTTACATCACAGAGGCCGACATACATGCACTCGTGGAGGTAAACCAGGATATAGAATCAGAAGGACGATGAGCAATAGACCGATACAGATCTAAAAGCACGATTCCTATTTTCGTAATTCCTATTCCTATTTTTTTGTGGATGAATTTTTAGGAAAATTTCCTTCATTGCTCCGCCGATCTAAGCCCGAAAAATAAATCAACGAAGTATATCGGCTTCTCAGTAGAACACAACTGCTATAAACGTGAAACAAGTTTAAAATAAAAAATAGTATTTTTTAATTTTCCCTTTTCTTATGTCCAACCGACCTTCCGCACAGCGATCTGACTGTACACTTCTTTGGGATCCAGGAACACGTGTTACAGTAAAGAATTATTTCAGTCATTATACCAGATAACTGTTTTAACATTCGGATAATTTGACGATCACATTCCGTCTATTTTTGGTCTGGACTGGTGTCTATCAGATACCACGAGTCTGTGCACTAAATGTATCTCAACGAGTACACAGCATACTAAACTATAGGGCAATTTTCTCGAGGGTCAAACATGTCCTGGCGTGAAAGCACAGTTTTGTGCATTTCTTACATACGCAAGCAACATTGAGATGAAATGCTTACACCACAGTTAACAGAGGGAGATGGACATGCCTGTACCACATCTGCATCCAACGGTATAATGTAACAGTATTGACTCCAACGGTACAATGTAACGGTATTGGCATTGCACTACAACGGGGAAGGCAAGTAACCGTCGTGAAACTAGGTGTATTGCTGGAGGTGTGTATAGTCGCCCTGCTGGACCACACTGCCCAGTACTGACTGGTCGGGTGATAAGGAAAACAGATCTAATTTATTGCACGCTTCCATTCAGCCAATTTATAAATTGCAACCTTCCCTTCGGGACTAGGCCCGTCCTCTTGTCAGTAAATGCCCTGACATGAACAATTAGTCCCGGTCGTGCCTGCTTTCAGGGCTTTCCAATTAGGGCTTACCTAGGCGTTATAGCCTGTTCCCTTTAACACGGCGAGGCGGTTAAAAAGACTGCATGCTGGTTCGAACCTGTAACATCAGTTAGTAAGAGGATTGTCCTTGAGAATCACTGCACTGAATGCGAGAACAAAACATTACTGTTTCAACATGCATAATCCGGAATTAATCTCTGATGGCAGGATCAACCTATTGTTACAACGTAAAGGTCAGATCGGACATCCGTTGACAATCCCTAATGACGTTAAGAAATGATTTCACACAAAATGACGTAAACGTAAGCAAAATCTAAGACAATGCCTCGTAGTAAACCTAACCCGTTAAACGTCGTCTAAAAATTCAAATAAAAACATTTCAATACGAGGTCTCTGGGTGTTTAAGGAGTCCCACACACCACGACTTAATCTGCTAAACCCTCAAGTGAATTCCTGGCTTTCACGGATGTTTTAATGACCCCAACATCACTTTCCGCCTAGCCTAATCGCCTTACGAGATAAGCTTACTAAAGAGGTCATTTACGAATGGTGCGTAAGCCGTGGTTAATCAATGCGGCCATGGCAGTCTAATGATGGTGCAGACGCCAGCAGACGCAACCTGACAAGACAAGTTCTGTTTTAAGATACGGTCCGCGGGAGAAGTATAAAATCTTACACCAACTTCATTATTGACGTAAGACTGAGAATACTGACTTGGTAATGACAGCCACGAGGCGTTGTATCGTATTCTGGAATGGAAGTTGGCTACAAAAATCCCTGAAGGTTTCAGCAGATTGAGATTCTGTCAATGCTTAATTGTATTGATAAGGTGTTCCCTGATGGTAACGTCAGTTCTAAGATATTCAATGTGGAGTGAATTGTGTTGAGACGCCGTTGTGAACAGTGTTTCAACTATTATACGACGTGTCAGCTTGTGGAGGAGTAGCAACATGATACAGATCTTAGATGTTACTATTACAGCGAAATTATGGTGCCGACAAACCAAAAACGTAATCAGGGTGAATCTGGGAATAGAACAACCGATCAGTTTCCTGGCACACCTAAGGGGCGCAACTCTGCAAAGTCAATTCTGCCAGGCCCGTTCTAGACTAACATCTACTCTTTGAAATGAACATATTTTACCGACAAAACGTTCCTAAATTATAATAAAACAATATACTAAAAAGGAGCCCAGATACTTTCTTCATTTTTCAGAAAATTTCCTGAAACTGTGAAAATCTAGACTTTCCAAATAATCTAAACTTGCATGGGTTTTCTTGGATATATTTTGTTTCAGGGTCTGTATGACAGACTAGGTCCGTTCGTACCTCCTTATTCCAAGTTGTTATATTTTGACAGTACAATGTGATCTATATATTCAATATGTCCAGCCATCATATATAATCAGTTATCAATAATATGCCGTTTTATGAATACCATAGCGGCTTAGACATATTCACGATTTGCGTCACCGCATCTCGTTCACTGGTAATAACAATTCTAAGTGCAATCAATCACGAGCATGTATGCACGGAAAACACCTGACAGCATCATCCGCTTCACCATATACACTGTAGTCAATATTAGAACGGCAAACAAGAATAAATTACCCTACAGACACGCTATACAAACACGTGCGATCAATTATGTACATCTGAACCGTATAAATTATTTTACAATATGACATCTGAGAAACATTCAATTTTAAATGGGCTTTCCCATTCTAACCTCCATATTTGATGTATGTACATAATTAATACGATAGGCTATTCACTACTAACATAATATTGTCTTTCAAGGAGGCCATGTTTGACATGCACCTGCCGGCCTCCCATAGGCTGACACTGATGTTCAAAGCTCGTCTTGGATCAAATCCGTGCCGGTTACCCTTGCCATGGTACTTCAAGAGGCTGGTAACACCGCCCATCTGGTTCGTTCGTCACACAAGTTGAACCTGTAAAGAAGTTCGCCAGGTGGCGCCCTTCATTGTGCAAGCTTCCGGTATCTAGATCCAAAGCATATAGGGGTCAAGGCCGCTATGGAATCACATGACCACAAAAATAGCACAGATGACTTCCGGTTTTCAACATTTACACTCACACGTCTTGCTTTACCATACACATGAAACACTCACTGTAAGCGTGGCTCTTGTAGTTTATAACATTGTCTTTCATTCTCGTGCCATTCAGCTTTGAAACCCTTTGAGATTAATTGATAAAGACACGAAAAGAGCCAGAATAAACACCGCGTCGACAGCATGAATGGTTTGAGCAGAATTTACAAACAGTATTTCAAATGTTCTTCGAGTCCGACCTTGTTGGTTGAAGGCTTCACAAACAAACCTTTCCCCAATTTCTGGTAAATACCGCTCAATACGTAAGACAGCAGAGGTGACGCCACCATAAGATAAGAACTGTGTTTCCTTGCTGTTGTTTAACTGGACACCTTCCGCCAACCATATCACCTTCGGAACAGGGTATCCTTGCGCGGGGCAGTATAGTTCCAGACGTTTTGTTGACACGGTCACCGTCTCCGAGACGTTATGGCCATCAGGGAAGTATGGACTGCCTGTAAAACAGAAGAGAGCTCGTTTAATAACAGAATCTCATAGAACCATTTTACGATAGATCAGGAAGAGTCTAACGCTAAGACTCTCACTTGAGGGTGCGTTTGAGAAAAGTCTACAGGCACATCCTAAACACCTGGTGTCATCTTTGGGTTTGAATGATCTCTTAAAAATATTCACCGCTAATTTTATGGACAACGAAATCTGCCTGTGATGATAATTGAGGCTGAGCATTGTCTGTGACTTGACATTACTTGATTACTGATAAAAGGTTCCCTGTGAATACGACGTTTAGTCTTTCAGGACAATGGCCATTCTCTGGTGGCTTAACATTCTCTGGTGGCTTACCATTCTCTGGTGGCCTACCATTCTCTGGTGGCTTACCATTCTCTGGTGGCCTACCATTCTCTGGAGGCTTACCATTCTCTGGTGGCCTACCATTCTCTGGTGGCCTACCATTCTCTGGTGGCTTACCATTCCCTGGTGGCCTACCATTCTCTGGTGGCCTACCATTCTCTGGTGGCCTACCATTCTCTGGTGGCTCACCATTCTCTGGTGGCCTACCATTCTCTGGAGGCTTACCATTCTCCTGGTGGCCTACCATTCTCTACCATTCTCTGGAGGCTTACCATTCTCTGGTGGCCTACCATTCTCTGGTGGCCTACCATTCCCTGGAGGCTTACCATTCTCTGGTGGCCTACCATTCTCTGGTGGCTTACCATTCTCTGGAGGCTTACCATTCTCTGGTGGCCTACCATTCTCTGGTGGCTTACCATTCTCTGGTGGCTTACCATTCTCTGGAGGCTTACCAAAGGATCGGTATTATTTCCTTCCCCCGGGACTGATAATTCCCCGGTGTTGTTTATATTTACATAACTAAGCGCACAGTAATAGTTTAGATTTTTAAGGAACTTTTAATTTTTATGCCTATCCAATTCTCACTCCATTCTGAGCTGATGAAATTACCAAAAGAAAATGTTTGCTTTCAAATGTTCAAATTTACCAATGAGGTCGTGTGATAGTTTCATTTTGTTAAACTAAAAATATAGCCTTCTTTCGGGGACTAAATTGCCGACTTTACACATACAAACTGGATCTGACCAAAACAGTTTTAAACATTATCGAAACAGTACTTGGCTCAAATCAGTTACTGAAACACCCCAAGAAGCATGTAAAATGCAGCTAAGATACCATTTGAATTACATCATCATCTACCCGTGTAGGTCCGGGATAGAAATGACCTTCAGCAAACCCATGCTTGTCGTAAGACGCGACCAACGGGATCGGGTGGTCAGGCTCGCTGACTGGGTCGACACATGTCATCGTATCCCAATTGTGTAGATCGATGTTCATGATGTTGATCCCTGGATTGTCTGGTCTAGACTCGATTATTTACAGACCATCGCCATATAGCTGGAATATTGCTGAGTGCGGAGTAAAACAAACTCACTCACTGATTCACTCACATCATCATCGGGTAACTTGTTGTGTCATGTTAAATCCAAATCAAACGGGGTTGTTAACTTTCGGCATGTCGTCAGTTATATATATGTCCGATGTAAGATAACGCATTAGTCTGTATGATACATAACTACTTGTATACTTGTTTTCAGATTTGTCCATAACAGATAGCATCTGTTGAAGGTCATCAGCAGTATGTTGGCAGATGAGGTGGGTTAATGAACGGGAGTGTATGTATATCATATGTCTATCTATTAAATATGATCCATATACTTCAGCAGTATTGCATAGACACCAGGTCTGCATTAAACCTCGCGTAATTAACCGTGTCACTCATCAAAACTGACCTATTTGGCTGTATAACTTGACTGGCTTGACTGTCTTTACAGACTTGATTGTCTTCACTAACTTGACCGACTTCACCAACTTGACCGACTTCACTAACTTGACCGACTTCACTAACCTGACCGACTTCACTAACTTGACCGACTTCACTAACTTAACCGACTTCACCAACTTGACCGACTTCACTAACTTAACCGACTTCACCAACTTGACCGACTTCACTAACTTGACCGACTTCACTAACCAACCGACTTCACCAACTTGACCGACTTCACTAACTTGACCACTAACTTGACTTGACCGACTTCACTAAATTAACCGACTTCACCAACTTGACCGACTTCACCAACTTGACCGACTTCACTAACTTAACCGACTTCACCAACTTGACCGACTTCACTAACTTGACCGACTTCACTAACTTAACCGACTTCACTAACTTGACCGACTTCACTAACTTGACCGACTTCACTAACTTAACCGACTTCACTAACTTGACCGACTTCACCAACTTGACCGACTTCACTAACTTAACCGACTTCACTAACTTGACCGACTTCACTAACTTAACCGACTTCACTAACTTGACCGACTTCACCAACCTGACCGACTTCACTAACTTAACCGAGTTCACTAACTTGACTGAGTTCACTAACCTGACCGACTTCACTAACTTGAACGACTTCACTAACCTGACCGACTTCACAAACTTGAACGACTTCACTAACCTGACCGACTTCACTAACCTGACCGACTTTACTAACCTGACCGATTTCACCAACATGGCAGACTTGACTAACTTTACTGACTTCACTAACTTGACCGACTTGACCGACTTGACTGACTTGATTGACTTGACTACCTTCACTAACTTGGCCAACGTAACCCGGGCATTACACACGACCTTGCCAGAACAAGACATAACCGGAAATCAATAATTTGTACTCCCCGGATACGAATCACGCATCAATAATATATTGGCCATCTGACCTTCACCGTACCATTGTCCAGTTTGTCCAAAGTTAGTCCCGAACCATTAGTACGTGTTCCAGACATGGGAATATTAAGGCATGGCAAAGTGATGTGGGAATAAATATACTCTTCTCAGCGAGGTGAAGAGCAGATCCCGATTCATATCAAAGTCCTAGGTCTGCATTTAATACACACATCTCCACTCCGCAATTTTCCATAACGCCTAATGATGCTCCGGACGTAAAGCGTGCGATATCACGGGTTAGTGAAAGTGTAACAAGCAAACATAACTGCTATCATGTATCGGCTCGCTATCAGTCAGATTCCTCCAGCGTATGCAACATCTGGTTTCTGTTGCGCAGAGGCGTAACCGTGGCTGGAAGAGACCCCGTCATACTAACAGTATATATCATCTCAGTGTAGTCCATGTGCTTTGTGATGCTAATTGTTATAATGCCTGTGGCGTGTGCCGTTGGTGTTCTACTACTGTGCGAGTATGCTGTAGATGTTTACCTGTTTTCAAGCACAGCTGTGTTAGTGTGTATGATATACAATTACATACGTATACTCAAGCGTGGTATTATTCTGTATGGTACTACATATAGTGACTTGTGAGATAATTCTGTAAAATATTACTTATATCAACGCATGGTATATTTCTTAATACACAAATGAACTTTAGGTATATTATGTTATAACCTAAAGTTGCGTGTGGTATAACGCTATATGATATTACTTATATCAACGCTGGTATAATTCTGTTTTCACATATCAACGCTGGTATAATTCTGTATTCACATATCAGCGCTGGTATAATTCTGTATTCACATATCAACGCTGGTATAATTCTGTATTCACATATCAACGCTGGTATAATTCTGTATTCACATATCAACGCTGGTATAATTCTGTATTCACATATCAACGCTGGTATAATTCTGTTTTCACATATCAACGCTGGTATAATTCTGTATTCACATATCAACGCTGGTATAATTCTGTTTTCACATATCAACGCTGGTATAAATCTATATAGTATTACACATACCAACACTGGTCCAATTCCGCATGATATATCATGATATAAGTTAATTCTGTAAGATATAACAACCTGTGGTATAATCCTGTGTGCGTATAATCAAGGCTGGTCCAATTATGTCTGATATATCAACTTGGGGTATAACTCTGTATACGTATAACCAACGCTGGTCCTATTATGTCTGATATATCAACTTGGGGTATAACTCTGTATACGTATAACCAACGCTGGTCAAATTATGTCTGATATATCAACTTGGGGTATAATTCTGTATACGTATAATCAACGCTGGTCCAGTTCTGTACGATATACCAACGTGGGGTATAATTCTGTATACGTATAATCAACGCTGGTCCAGTTCTGTACGATATACCAACGGGTGGTATAATTCTGTATACGTATAACCAACGCTGGTCAAATTATGTCTGATATATCAACTTGGGGTATAATTATGTATACGTATAACCAACGCTGGTCCAGTTCTGTACGATATACCAACGTGGGGTATAATTCTGTTTACGTATAATCAACGCTGGTCCAGTTCTGTACGATATACCAACGCGGTGGTATAATTCTGTATACGTATAATCAACGCTGGTCCAGTTCTGTACGATATACCAACGTGGGGTATAATTCTGTATATACGTATAATCAACGCTGGTCCAGTTCTGTACGATATACCAACGTGGGGTATAATTCTGTATACGTATAATCAACGCTGGTCCAGTTCTGTACGATATACCAACGTGTGGTATAATTCTGTATACGTATAATCAACGCTGGTCCAGTTCTGTACGATATACCAACGTGTGGTATAATTCTGTATACGTATAATCAACGCTGGTCCAGTTCTGTACGATATACCAACGTGGGGTATAATTCTGTATACGTATAATCAACGCTGGTCCAGTTCTGTACGATATACCAACGTGGGGTATAATTCTGTATACGTATAATCAACGCTGGTCCAGTTCTGTACGATATACCAACGTGGGGTATAATTCTGTATACGTATAATCAACGCTGGTCCAATTCTGTCTGATATACCAACGTGGGGTATAATTCTGTATACGCATAATCAACGCTGGTCCAGTTCTGTACGATATACCAACGTGTGGTGTAATTCTGTATGCGTATAATCAACGCTTGTCCAAATCTGTACGATATATCAACGTGGGGTATAAT